TGTAGACCTCAATGAATGGAATTCAACTTTTTAAAAAGTTCACTAGTAGACTATGGTCTAGATATTATTTCAGGGGGGAAAAAGCAAGATTATGAATAGGAAATTTATTGCCCTCGGTTCCACTGTGTCCCTCCACATCTGTATTGGTTCTGTTCTTATCAGAGATATAAGATGTTACCCAAGGATCTTGGACATTACAGATCTCGACATGGTGTTTAATAATAAATTTAATACAATACAATTAAGTTAAAGTCATTTAAATTTATTGGCTGCCCTATTCTGGTAGATTCTGGGAGGCATTATAAAAATACAGGAAATATAATAACAGCTAGAAATATTAAATCAAATGAACAGTCCAGGGTCAAATACTTTGCTAACAAAACCCACAAAACAAAACAGGGGTCATTAAGCAAGGACAAACATCAGCTCAGGCTAGGGACCAGAGGCAGATTTCCAAGGCTTTCTGCAACCCCAAGAGAGAGGGCCCATCCTTATCTCTTGGGAGGATGTTCTTCATGGTGTATGCAGGCAGAAATGATTAGAGATCAGTGGTCCCTAATGTGAGCAACCAGAGTGGACTATAGTAGAGATCTTCAATCCCTTGTTCACATATCTTCATATAAGTGGACCCCACTGGCTCCCTCTCCCTCTTCAGGCAGAATACAAATAATGCCTTCGAGTTTCATGAAACAGCAACAGTGATGGTTAGCTTCCACTTATAGTATTATTTTGGAAAGCAGTTGTATTCAACAATGACTGGCTGGTTTCTTTCATTTATAATGACATTGTTATTTATGATGTGAGTAATTATTTCTATCATTACAGGTGTTAAGAGGATTTCTTAAGGATGCATGAAAATGTCAGTTTTGTTTTTCCCCATATGCAAAGATTTTTAATTCCATGTGTGAACAACAATTTTTTAAAAAGTGGAAACAAAACTTTCACGTTTGCGTCAGTCAAATTTAATAGCTCCAGCTGTTGTGAAGGGGATCATGTTGTACCCAAATGTTCTCCAAGATTTTCCTCTTTGGCTCTAACAATTATAGGTGAGGACCATGAAAGACAATTCCATTCAGTACCACATATTTATTCAATGTACAGGGATTCCTTCCATCCTGGACGCTCAAACCAGCTTAGATAGGGTAATATATCATATACTTCTCATCATTTTTTTTTAAATCATATTTTCCCTCACTCTCTTTATGATAAAGAAAACCCTTTCTAGAGTTTTCAAATTTGTGTCATTTGTTGTTCTGCTATGAGTAGCTAAATGCCTAGATCTAATCTTGGACAGAAGAATGACTATCTAAAATTTGGTTACATTACACATGTTTAAAATTATTTCTCTAAATAGATTTTGCGAAGTTGGTATACCTCTATTTAAAAATAATAATAATTGGAATCACTGTAACAGCTTGGAGTAATCTTTTTTAATGAATGTGGTGGAAATATTGTTTGACATTTCATTGTATTTTGCTTCTCCCGTTCCTCGAAGTTATAATACATTGCTTTCCACATACCATGGTCTGTCTTGGTTCTTTCCATCTTTCCTCTCTGGAGATACTTTAAACAAACCTGAATAAAATAAAAATAAATATGAAACACAAAGGGGCTTAAATAGAACCTATGAAAGTCTTGACAGCTAATTATAAACTCTCCAAATATCACAATGGGGAAAGTCTCTGACAATAAGACTCAATAACATTGGGGAGGGGGGGTGGGGGAGGGGAGAGAGAGAGAAAGAAAGAGAGAGAGAGAGATGAATGTAAAGTCATAGAGAATGCAGTGGGCCTCCATAAAAGAAAGGAATGCATACCAACCACAGGCACAACTTTAGAAACAAAACACACAGTAAATCTAAAAATCATTTCCACCAGATGAAGGAAATTGTCAGGACTTGGAATAGACTGTTATTCAAAGATGCCTCCCAATGTCTTCAATTGGTTGTTGTTGGAGACTGGAGACTGGTCTATAATATTAACAATTGGTTTGGAGTCCCAAAGTCTGTGTTTCATCTTTGTTCCTCTGTCATATGGAGCTATATGAACTACCTGATGATGTCAAGATATATGGCATTTTAGCGTGGCAAAAACCAGCTATTTCAAGCTGGGTGATTCCATTCACTCTCCTCCATCCTTATTGACTTACTGTATGACTGAAGCATTTTGAATAGTGAATAGTCATTGACAGACACTTTGTTACATGAATAGGATCCCAGGGGATCTCCCCAACTGAATAAAGAACTTTGTTTAGCTAACAGAGATAATCCATCACTGTTCTGTGGGTTGTTGTTGTTTTTTTAATACAGCTTCTCAAGGTTCGTTTTCTTTTCCTAGAATATCATTTGTTGTGGTTGTTGTTGTTGTTCCTCAAAGATCCCAAGTTGCAGATGGCCACTTTTCAGTAAATCAGAACAAATGTACTTCACAGCTATATTTAGATTTTGATCCGTTTTCAGAGGCTGACTCCAAAGTTAGACAACTGACTTTTCAAGTAGAAGCAAATGGAGATGGAAAACTGGACCCAGTTCTTTGTATAGTAAGAAAAGGCTATTTGGGGATGCAGGTACATCAGGGACCATTGAGAAACAGCCTTTCTTTGGGTGTTTGGCCTTGGAAAAGGTCTTTGGGGAAGACCTTCCCCTTTGGGGAAGATTCTATAAATATTATCTAACTAATTAACAATGACACATCATATATTCTACTTTCTCTACGTATTTAACTTTTATCTCACAGTTTCTTCCCAAAACACCCTAACTCAGGGCTATCAAACTTGCGGCCTGTGGGCCAGATGCGTCATATGCTGGTCACACCCACGCCTGGTTTAGTGAAGGGGAAAAAAAAGTCCTGATATGTCATATGATGCTGCCGTGACGACGTGAGTTTGACTCCCCTGCCCTAACTGGTTCCTCCTACTAAACCAAGGAGGGTAGTTACGCTTTGCAGATTAAGTGGAAACACAAATATGTCATAGGGGGTAGTTCTATCCTTAGTTGTGGGCTAAATATTATGTAAAGGTTAGGTTTATATTCACTTTTACTGGCTGAACTCTGTTCAGATGTTCATATGGATAAGGAACTGGGAAAAAGCAACTAAGTTTAAACTTGATTGGAAGATAAGCTTAGATTTTGAGTTATTTTGTATAACTCAGGGCATGTACACAATGCTCTCACTGCCTGTTTTCCACACAACAACAATCCTGTGATGAATGCACAATCACTGTCAGAATCTCCTTCAATCAAATACAACATTTGAGGGGCTTCTGAGGTGGTTCCAACATAAGACCGGCAAAGCAAGCGGCATCTTCCCTTTTCCCCAGCCTTATAACAGGTAACAATAACAGAGTTGGAAGGGACCTTGGAGGTCATCTAGTCCAAACCCCTGTTCATGCAGGAGACCTATACTAACACAGTAGTGCTTCTTGTGTGGAGAAAGAAATTCTGGCACACCTCCCTTCTTGGTAAACTACTTCCACACAATTAATGAGCCAGTAACAATGGTCAATGTGAGGATGGATAAAAGACTGTACATTTAAACATGTTGATGAAAAATAAAAATAAAAAACTTTAAAAAAAAAAAGCAATGATCAATGTGTAGCTCTCCAAGGCACACTTTTTTCTAGATCAGCAGTTCTCAAATTATGGTCTGGATCTTTTCAGGGGACCTGCAAAATATTGTAAGCTGCATATTGTAAGAGTTATCCTGTAGTAAGATGGGTGACAAATAAATAAATAAATAAATAAAAATTAAGAAATAAAATTAAGAAATAAAAAATAAAAATATTTAAAATGTCTCAGCTTTAATTTCCAATACAGTAAATAGTGCTAGAGATATAAGCCACATAAACCAAAGCTCCTTGGGGTCCTCCATCATTTTAAAGAAAGTAATGGGGTCCTAAAATCAAAATATTTGAGAACCACTGATCTAGATAACAAGGTGGTCATTTTCCTGCCTGGTGGGTTGCTGTCTCCCCTGACACCATGAAGCATTCTCTAAGGGAATTTAATAGTCTTATAATATGTGGTCTAGGAGTGTGTATATGTGGCTTTCAGTTTATCCTCATCATCTTTATACTGCCTGAATTTTCCTTTTCAACTGCCGGGGGTTCCCAAACTGTGGACTATCAGAGACACAAATTCTCTTGTGTTAACGACCATATTCTTATCCACAGTCATCATAGAGAATGTAAATGGGAAGTCATTTCTTTTTTTTGTTGCTCCTGAGAACAATAAAGAAGAAAGAAGGAAATGAGGTTTTCCACACTTTGTATTCCATTTCAGATAAAACTATTATCTATTTAATTCCTCTCTGCTAGCTAAAGTGTGTTTATGCTGGCCAAGGAAAGGGAAGACAACAGCCGCCAAGCATGGATAAGATCAGAGAGATCAAGGGAATATCCTTGGAAGAGCAACAGGTTGTATTAGTCATCAACCGCTGAGTCTGGAGTCAGCATATCTCACTTCTGTGAGAAAAAGTCTCTTTGGGATTTGTAAAAGAGGGCTTGTAAAAGCTCGAAGAAATTTTGAGGAGGGAGAAAGATCATTTGAACAGAGCAACTTGATGAATTAAAGATCAATATTGTCAGAAGCAAAAGAAAGGAATATAAACTTGACTTCTTTGATCATGGCTGAAATGAGAAATCATTTCATAAATCTCTGGAAATCCTTTATGGACTTTTTGCCAACATTTGGACAGAAATGGCAAAGGTTTGTGAATGGATAAGGGATTCATGGGAAGAAGTGAATCATGTATGTAATTTCACAGAGACTGGGGAACTATTAATTTGCCTGTGCTTGTGGCAAGGAACATCAGGAGTCACTTCTTTAAATCATCTTTATTTTCCCCTGTCTCCTTTTGTTTCTCTTCTCTCTTCTTCTTCTTCTTCTTCTTCTTCTTCTTCTTCTTCTTCTTCTTCTTCTTCCTTCTTCTTCTTCTTCTTCTTCTTCTTCTTCTTCTTCTTCTTCTTCTCCTTCTCCTTCTCCTTCTCCTTCTCCTCCTCCTCCTCCTCCTCCTCCTCCTCCTCCTTCTCCTTCTCCTTCTTCTTCTTCTGTGCTTGGCATTTTTCTTTCCTTTCTTTCCTTTTTCCTGATTTCAGTTGGTATTATCTTTGGTATTGTAGAACTTTTTAATAAAAAATATTTTAAAAAGAGAGAATGAGAGAGAGAGAGAAAATATTTTTGAAAAGTCTTTCAGCCAATGAGTATTTGCTTACATTTGCATCAATGAGCAATGAACTATAGACAATTTTGAGGTTGGCATTCTATCAGTTCTCAAAAGGTGGCTTTACATATATTTTTTGGCATTTGTTATGATTTGCCTAATACAGTATGATGTATGAATATCAGAAGCAGGCATTTAGAAATCTTCATATGACATTGATTCATTGGGAATTTTCCCCCCTATTGTCATAAAGTGTTTGTAAGAATAGTGGGAACTAGAGATATGAAAATATAGATGTATTTAGATTTAAATCAGTATAGTTGAATACTAAAAATTGATTTATCAGCTTTCCGTATTTTGTATGTAAGACATCCATGTACATTTCATGTAAATTGAACCTGATTAAAAAAAAAAGCTTTAAGAAGGAGGGGAAAGGGCTACATAGCATATACGAGCACTTGTCAACCAACTGCGTTTGCAGTTGGTGGCAAACCCAGATTTCTTTCTATGTGGTTTTCAAATTTGCTAATCTATTAATAGCATTAATATAATCCATTGCCCGATTTCTAAGAAAAATCAAGTCCTTGGTCTTTGTTCATTTGAGGAGGAATTTTGCTGAGATTTTGTGCAATTCCTGCACGATAAAGTTGCTCGGATTCGGGATGGCTTGGACTCCGATTGGATGAGTCCACGGGAGGAGACGAGGGCAGGTCTTGAGAATGTTATCTGGGAGGAGTTTGTTCCTGTGGCTCCCGAGGATGTGGACAGGGTTCTGGGTAAGATTAGTGCCGCCATGTGTTTATTGGACCCGTGTCCCTCCTGGTTGGTACTGGCCTCCCGGGAGCTTACATGAGGCTGGCTCCAGGGGATTATAGGTGTTTCTCTGAGTGAGGGTGCCTTTTCTGCCACCTTGAAAGAGGCGGTAGTGAGGCCCCTCCTCAAGAAGCCTTCCCTGGATCCGGCTGAATTAGCCAACTATCGTCCAGTCTCCAACCTTCATTTTGTGGCGAAGGTTGTTGAGAGCGTGGTGGCACGACAACTTCCCCGGCACCTGGATGAAGCTATCTATCTAGACCCGTACCAGTCGGGCTTCAGGCAGGGGTACAGCACAGAAACGGCATTGGTCGCATTGGTGGATGATCTCTGGAGGGCTCGGGACAGGGGTTGCTCCTCTGTCCTAGTCCTATTAGATCTCTCAGCGGCTTTTGATACCATCGACCATGGTATCATGCTGCAGCAATTGAGGGGGTTAGGAATAGGGGGCACCGTTCTGCGGTGGTTCTCCTCCTTCCTCTCCGACCACTCGCAGTTTGTGTAGGCAGAGAGACAGAGGTCGACCTCGAGGCGTCTCACATGGGGAGTGCCGCAAGGGTCGGTCCTCTCGCCCCTCCTGTTCAACATTTATGTGAAGCCGCTGGGTGAGATCATCCATGGTTTTGGGGTGAAGTGTCATCTGTATGTTGATGATACTCAGCTGTACATCTCCACCCCAGACCACCCCAACGATGCCCTTGATGTGATGTCTCGCTGCCTGGAGGCCGTGCGGGTCTGGATGGGGAGGAACAGGCTCAGATTCAACCCCTCCAAGACCGAGTGGCTGTGGCTTCGGTGCCCCAATATAGTCAGCAGGTGCCATTGCTGACTATTGGGGGTGAATCTTTGCCCTCCACGGAGAGGGCTCGCAATCTGGGTGTCCTCCTGGATTCACGGCTGTCTTTAGAAGAGCATATGACGGCCATGGCCAGGGGGGCCTTTTATCAGGTTCCCCTGATTCGCCAGTTGCAGCCCTTTCTGGCCCGGGACACCCTGCGCACGGTCACTCATGCCCTTGTTACCTCCCAGTTGGACTATTGTAATGCTCTCTACATGGGGCTCCCCTAGAAGAGCACTTGGAGGCTCCAACTGGTCCAGAATGCGGCCGCACGGGTGGTTATGGGCGCAACTCGTTGTGCCCATGTGACACCCCTCCTGCGCAAGCTTCACTGGCTCCCAGTGGTCTTCCGGGTGCGATTCAAGGTGCTGGTTACCACCTTTAAAGCGCTCCATGGCATAGGACCCGGGTATCTTCAAGACCGCCTTCTGCCACCAATAGCCTCCCACCAACCAGTTCGCTCCCACAGAGAGGGTCTCCTCAGGGTGCCATCGGCCAAGTTATGTCGGCTGGCGACACCCAGGGGGAGGGCCTTCTCTGTGGGATCCCCAGCCCTGTGGAACGAACTGCCCCCGGAAATATGTATGATCTCCGACCTCCGGGTGTTTCGCTGCGCACTGAAGACCCTGTTGTTCTGCCAGGCCGGGCTATCAACATAATAGTTTTAAATTGGGGTATTTAAATTTTTGGGGTTTTAAATTGAGCCAAATCTATTTAATTATTTCAAATTTTAATCGCTGTTTTGTCTTGTGTTTTTAAATAGGCTGTACATCGCCCTGTTCTATACCGCCCTTCGGGAGAAGGGCGGTATAGAAATAAAATTATTATTATTATTATTATTATTATTATTATTATTATTATCTCTGATTGATATAGAATAGCAATGTGCATTTACACATTGCGAGAGATATCTTATCCTAGCCTTAAAAAAAAATTTTAGCTGTCAAGGGAAGATAACCTCTCTGTCTCCATTGTCCATTAAAATAGTTTATAATCCTCTCAGTTAGAAAATATTTAAATCAGAAGTGTTTTAACATTCAACAACCTAATTTTGCAGGTTCAGTGAAGCTTCTCACACACAGTATATTTCTCCTTTAGAGTTATTTATTGAACAGAATGCTAGATTTTAAACCCCTGATAATTTAAGTCTGGGAAACAGTAGTACACATAAAGTAGCTACATTACTGTTGTCAAACTGAATTTCAAAACTTGTCTCCTGATCTGAATTTCTGAACTGACTCTAGTGGATCTAACATTTTGCTACAGGAGTCATTCCAGGTACAATGGACTCAGTGTAAATTACTTTATACTGTTTCTTCTAGCATTAAATAATAATGTAGAGTGAAACCATAAATCAACAGATCCACATTTAATGCATTTTGGATGCAATGGGCTACATTTACATTCACACTTCAACTACTACCATCCCATGGTAGAACAGTCCGGTATTTCCAAAGACTGTCTAGACAATTGACATAATTTACATCATTTGTGTCAATTTTGGGTGTTTGCATAATTATGTAATCAAAGTTTTTGTGTCATTTACATGAATTGCCATCCTTTGCATAAAAACATAAATGGAATAAATTAAAACAAATGATATAAGAATGTAAATTACATAATTAGGCAATTATAGCAATTATGTTAGTTGAATTAATTTGAATTTAATGGACAAATGGATTTAACAGACACTCTTGCTCCCAAGTGGTAGGCATTGTTATGCAGTTTTGATCTCAATTTAAATTTGGCAACCTCTCCTTCTGCTCCATTTTATTTCAGACCACACACAATTAGCGCTAAGAAACTTATCAGCTTTGTTCTCAAAACACAGTTAAACATTTGGTTGCTACCTATTCAAATCTCCTTACTGGTGGTTCAGACCATACACAAGCACACTAAGTTAATCAAATGTGACCACTTCAGATTTACAGAATCCTCACTCACTTCCTCCAGGAAGTACCTCTTTTTCCCAAAGCTGGGAGAACACTGGTTTCTTTATATCACTAGGCCTTTCCTCATTGGTTAGGCAGGCTGCAGTAGGCATGGCTTTGCTGCTGCAAGCCAATCAGGGTATGATTTGAATGACTGAATGATTCAGTGATTGCAATGGAGAGGCATCCTTTCTCAGCTAGCCTATCTCTACAGCTCTTTTTCCTGGAGAAATATTTAAATAAAATGGAACAAGAGGCTGGGTTTTGATATCTTCAAAACATAACCGACTGGATGAAATGTGTTTAACTTTGCAAGCCCAAATCTATCTACTTCTCTGGAAGTTAATTGGTCAGTGGATTATTGTTTAGTCTTCCCACAAATTATTTATTTATTACATTTATATGCTACCCCATCTTGCAGTTTGAGGCAACTCATTTAAATTAAATTCTGTACATATCATATTTATTAGGAACGATGTAGTACTAGGAAATTGCCACTTATATGTAAAGTATATCCACTTTTTTGAGAATCTTTAATCATCCTATTGAAATTTCTTTTTCATATAAATTTTGATGGCACCTTTATGAAGACATCAATTTTTTTTGCCATTTACAAAGAGAAGTCTGTTAAAAACAACTGTGGCAATATTTTCTTGTGGCAGTGAGACATATGTAGATTTTCTACCTATAAAATCAATTTATCTTACCACTATTACTCCTTTCCCCCAAAACAACATTCCTGATTAATACAGCAGTTAATTACAATCCTTCCATATGACAAGTTTCTGAACAAATGCAGTTACATACTGTAAGATATTCCAAAATTAGCCCACCGATCTTTGCAAAGGAGATTTGATTCTTCCCGCCTCCTCAGAAAAACCATGAACCTACAGGCTTAGAGATACAGTTCTGTAAATATTTGCATACACACCTTTATAGCAGAGCTATCCCAAACGTTCTCCCACACGAACCTGAAAGAAACAGAGTGATAACTACTGTAGATAAGAATAAGTCTTTCTCATTTCAACACAGCTTGCATAGAAAAGCTAAACTGGATTACAAAGTTCAAACTATTTTTACAGAAACATTCTCCCTTCAAAGAAATGTCACCTCACCATGGGGTGAATCCCAGCAAGACTTCATTTAAAGCTTTTTAAAGATAAATCTCCTAAAAGGGAGAAATAATTTGACTATTTCCTTTATTATGTGCTCTTTTTTTCATTTTTTCGTTTGAAAAAGCTATTAAAAAGTTATATACTTTCGAAACATGAAGCTAACCTGAATAGGCTGTGCGACATATAACATTTGCCTTATGTTCAAAGGAAGAAACATCACTGATAATATTAACAATAATGAAACTGCTGGCATCACAACAGTCCATAGGTGATAAATGGTTTTATCTCATATCAAAATTTTCCTTTTGCTAAACAGTCCTTCAGATTCTCCAAAGAGGAAAAGCATACAATTACTTTTGGAGCTTATTTTGGGCTACAGCAGAAATATATGTTCATTTTTTAAATCTTCTTCTCAAAATTCTGTTTGGGAAATGTTTGTATCAAATAGTTGCAAATACTCATGGATGGGGTGAAACAACTTCTGAATTGAGCAATAAGAGCTATCACCCATTCTATTATACCTTATAACATTTTATACCAGATACACAAAAGTATTTGTAAAACCTTTTAATAAAAAAGTATAAGAAATCAGTAAAAAAAAAAAAAAAGTAATGCATTAAAAACAAAAAATCAAGGCTAACATTGACTAACATAAGCACATACAAAAATGAACATATTTTCCCTTTGTAATCAGTCATCAGGAACTACCTTTAAATCCCATTTGTGCCAGTAAAGAGATTTCAAGAGGCACTTAATTTTTTTTTCTATTCAAATGAATGAGAATTATTTTATGTTGAATATAATCCAGCCAAAATTTCAGACAGGAGTTGCCATATTATAAAGTACTGGAGGAAAAACTGACCAAGAGTCCAGAAGTGTTTCTAACAAGCCTCAAATAAAGTTGCATGTTATTGCTAGAAGCAGTGAGTAATTATATTTGATAATTGGTATGCCGTATATATTTAATATGTGACTCAGTTGTATTTAATAAATATTTGATAGGTGATATTTTCTGATATCCAGTGGCTAATTAACATTTATTCAACAGTTGATCTTTTTTATTAGATTTCTTAACTAATGCTTGCAAATCTATACAATCAAGAAATGCCAAAACAGTTGAATCAAGCATAAATTGATGTTCATTTACAGACTTTTTGGCTCCGTTTTCCATCCATAGCAATTTTCTTTCCTGGATTTATTTATTGTTCCTTAGATTTATATCTCATCTTTCTTTCAGGAGGGACAGGGAGTATACAGTATGGCACTTATTTTTTTCATTTTCCCCCACAACAAGCCACCCCCATGAGATAGTTTGTGCTACGAATGGTTGAATGTAGAATTGTAACAAGGTCATCTAAAAACACCAGTGCATCTTCAAATCTCAGTTTTCCAATTGCCAAACATTCTCTTTGGATACATAACAATATTTTAAGATGACTCTCTGCGAGGTATGGAGGAGATTATGTTGGAAATTAGTTTAAATAAAGCATGTGTTTTTTTTTCTGATAAAACTGTATAACATGAAGTGTGTAACAGATGATAAGCAGGATAAAATCAAAGACAAACTGATAAAGTTCAAGATATTAACATTTGATAAAAAGGGTCAAGGAACTAAAATACAGATAGAATTGTGCTTTATAAACTGTAACAAAATGGAGTTGTATTGAACTCGAATTTAAGAATTGTGGTGATAAAATTATAAGGTAAATAATTAGAATAGGAGATTAGAATATTGTTAAAAATTATTTTGACACTGATGGTAAAAGATATAACAAAGACAATGTGGAGAAGAATCAGATGTAACCAGGATTGATACATAGACATAAAAATGAGTTAAATTTAAATTGAAGCTATAATTGTATTGATAGACTTGTTTAGATGAAGATATTAGAATCTATGTTAAAATTTGTTCTTTTATATTTTGAATTTTTACTTTTAAAAGATCTAATGGGAAATCAGGAATGGAGCTTGTTAAAGGAATGTAAGCGTGTTAACCATCTATGACCGGATCGAAACTCTGTTCTTGAAAGTTATATTTTATGTTTATGTTTGAAAAAAATAAAAAATATTTACCAAAAAAGATGACTCTCTGCAAATTGTTCCCTGCATATAGAGATTACAGCTCTTAAACTTTCATCTACCATTAGAATGGTGGTTGGAGGTTCTGAATATTTTATTTTTCAGGTCCCAATTGATAGCACCAGTTTGAGGGGGGAGGGCGGGAATGTTTCAAAGATCACATCACATGAACAATGAAAAACAAACAAACGAGCAAAGAAGCTATATTATCTGTTCATTATTAAGTTCAGCCTGAAAATCTAAAAATTGACCCAGCTTCTGGTTTAAGAATGTCTTTCCTACCACAAAGTTTGTTATTTTTCTTTATTGTTGTTGTCATTTGGTTTTAAAATTATAATCATTGTGTTCTGTCCTAAGTTTGGGTAAGGTATAGCATAAGGTGACCAGACGTCCCGCTTTTGGCGGGACAGTCCCACGTCCCGTGGAGTTTTAAAAATTTTTGGGAAAGAATGCACCGCGCAGTGGTGGGTTGCTCCTGGCTGCCTCCTGAGTCCCTACAGCTGATCAGTGTTAAAAGAAAACAAATGAGTAGATCAATGCCTGCAAAAATAGAAAAAAACAGCCCCTTAAAGCTTCAACATAGGTTAATTATCACAGGTTGATTACATCGGCTTCCCGACTCTCAGCTGATTTGCTCTCAGCTGTTTTGCTCAGGGCTCTGTAGTTGCTAGCTGCAGAGTGCTGGAGATTTTTTCCCCTCTAATTATGCTTTAAAAGCAAAACTGAAAGTAAAGCAGGGTCTTTGCTCCAACGTGGCAAAATGAGGCAGAGAGAGATTTCTTTTTCTTTTTCCTCACCAAAAAAGGTAGGTGCAAAACTGCAAACAATGGGAAATTTAGGGCAAAAGAGGAGAGTTCAAGATTTTAAAACACAAAAGAAAAAAAGCTCTATTTAACTAGGGAATTGTAATAATTGAGATACTATTAATTGTATATTGTGTTGAAAGCAGAAATGGTTAAGTTGTGGTTTGGGGGAATATATGGGGGAAATTATTTGGTTTATTATTATTGGTAAATATAATTAATTGATTTGTAAGAAATTGGATTGCATGGAAATAATTGGAATATTCATGTTGATATTAATATACAAAAAAGATAGTTATATAACTAATTGATTTATATTAAAATGTTGAATTTGTATTAAACAACTGTATTACATAATTACATAATTAACCAATGTGAGGATGGATATAAAAATAGATGACAATGGGAAGGGGTATAATATAGAATAGAAGGGGAAAATTGAATTTGATTAAGATTAGAGATGAGGATGAAGGGTAATATTGGTTTTTTAAAAAAATAGATGAGGAATAAATATGGCAAAAAGGAAATATAGAAATTGTAAATTTAATTGAAGTGACTAAACACTGTTTAAATTTGTGAACCAGCCAAATATTCTGTTCAAAGAAAATACATTGTATGTTTGTATGTGTGTTTCTAATTATTGCTATTTATTCATATTTGTTCTCTTTTATTCTTTAAAGTTTAACAATTCATTCTTTATCTTAATATCTTTATATTTGTTTGGGGTTGGCTTTCTTCCCTTTCATCTTTTTTTTTTGTACAGCAATCTTTCTCCTCAAACCTACCACCTCTCTCTTTTCTTTCCTTCTTACTTTCTCTTCCCCCCCTCTTCTTCTCCTCTCTACTTCCTCTTCCTTTCTCCTTCTCCTCCTCTCTTCCTCCCTCTCTTACCCTCACTCCTGCTCTAATTTCCCTTCCCTTCCTTCATCCCTCTCTATTGCTGTATCCTTTTATGCATATGGACTACTCAGAGGGCTGAAAAAGTTATTTTTGACTAGTCTGGTCCTCACACTTTTGACCAGTCCTCGAACTTACGACTGTCCTCACATTTTACATTTTTGCCCTATCTTGTCATCATGGTGAAGAGAAGCAGTTGTGAAATGAGTGACATGGTTGTTAAAAATGGTGCACGGGCATAAATGTGAGGATGGTCATAAGTATTAGGACCAGTCAAAAGTGCGAGGACCTGACAGAAATGACTTTTTTTAGCCCTCTGGTTAGTCCTTTTGTGCATATGGACTACTCAGAGGGCTGAAAAAGTTATTTTTGACTGGTCCTCGCACTTTTGACCAGTCCTCAAACTTACGACTGTCCTCACATTTAACGTTTTTGCCCTATCTTATCACCACAGTGAAGAGAAGCAGTTGTGAAATGAGTGACATGGTTGTTAAGAATGCATAAATGTGCGGATGGTCATAAGTGTGAGGACCAGTCAAAAGTGCAAGGACCTGTCAGAAATGACTTTTTTCTATACACATAGCCATGGCCACCCGGTCACATGACCAGCTAGCCACACCCACCCAGTCACATGACCTCCAAGCCACGCCCACAAAATGGTGGGTGTCCCGCTTTACCAATGTTAAAATCTGGTCACCTTAGTATAGCAAAGCAGCTGTGTGTGGGTTATTTACATACTGAAAGAGGGTGAGGCAGATTCCCTCAAGGCAGGAAGTAACTAATAATTTCCAAGTCTGTAGAAGAAAGGAAGGTGGTGGGAGAAATATCTACTCTACTATATATAATAGAGTGAAATCAGAAGCTAAAGGAGAATGGGCTACAATCATAGTCTCTTTAAAGCTGCAGTTATCAGTCGAAGATGCATCTCCTGTGGCTTGATGTACAACTGTACATGTAGAAGAAGAATCCTATCCTATCCAAAGAATATTTCAGATCTGAATTAGTTATTCTCTTCTCTCCATTTCAAAGAAGGTGTATCAAGTTGTTATGATAATCAGCTAAGGATCAAAGAGAAGG